TGCCTCAGTCATCTTTCAAGCCAGGAGGCTTCAGCCTGAGCTGATGGGGAAAGTAAAGGCATTTAGGACCATTATTTTTGGTTAAAGGAGGTTTTTCTGTGACTGCCTGGATGTTTTTTGTGCCCGCAGGTGCTCTCTGGAAGGATTTCTTTTCCTGATGGTTTTGCTTGTTAAATAATTTTTCCCATTTCTCCTGGCTGGTGCTAGCCCAGGCTGGGGCATGCTGCTGTGGTAGTGCCCCATGGGTGATATTGGGGTTTTATGGCTTTCCTGGACGAGCTTATGGTCAATGGTCTTCTCCATGCTGGCACAGCCTGCGCCCAAGTGTGGGGCACCGCATCCGTGGCAAGGGGAGGGTTGGGGACCATCCTGCTGCCCTGCCTGGGGGGCCGAGCTGGCGGAGCCCATCGACTGGAGACCTCCTTCCTGACCACCGGCTCTTTGGGTGGGGTTTGTGCCAGGGCGGCTTGCTGCTCCGCAACACACCCCAGGGCAATGTCTCCCCCCCCTCCATCACCTGGCCAAGCGCTCGGTCCGGGAGCTGGCTGCCTCCGGTAGGAACCACCACTGTGTTTCGGCTAAGCCGGAGTTCCTTGCATGTGTGTGGTGAGAAAAGGAGCAGAGTCCCATCTTACTGCTCTTACTCATCCTTTCTTTTTTACGCCTCTGCTGAGCTCTTCCCTTCTGTGAACTGCTGATTATTGGGAAATGGCTTGGGGTTTTTTTTTTTTTTTTTTTTTTTCTTAGCCAGATGCCTTCCGAGCAGGAAGGAGCAGCCTAGCAGGATGCTAGGGTGTGGGTTTAGGCTTTTTATCATCAGAAATAATTTACTGGCACCAAAACTCATGGACGTCTTGGAGCTTGGCTCCACTGAACAGCAGTGGGATGTAAGTTCACCCTTTATTTCCTTGTGGCACTCAAATTTGGTTTAAAACAGCGGAGGAATTCCTGCTTTCACGCTGTGGCCTCTGCTCTCCTCTGAAAACCAGAAAAAGCAACAAAAAACTGAAGAAAGCAATAGGAAAGAACCCTTCTCCCACTGTAGAGCTGCACGGGCTGAGCACCGACAGAGGTGAATAATTCATTCCACTAAAAACACAAAAGCAAGCAAGCTTTTCTCGCCCCTTTCCAGCAGCGGAACAAGCAAGCGGTACTTCCCCCGTGCTCCCCATCCCTGGCTCTCCGCTGAGCGCAGGAGGCTGCGGTCCCCGCTCCATCCCCACCAGGGGGGACACCTGCAGGAGGGGGGACCATCCCCATCCCCGAGCACTCGTTATGGGGATGGTGTTGAGCAGGAGCAAACTGAAGTCCGGGTCACCTCCCTGAGCGCTCAGCCCGAGGACAAGGATTGGGCTTTTCCTTGGTGAGTTTTTAAAGACCACCCATACTCCTCCTCGCTGTGGATCCCATGCAGCCCAAAGCAGGGGTACGGGTTAATCCCAGAATATTTGGGGCCTTCCCGCACCAGCGGGCATCGTGGCCACGAGCACGGGTGCGTGCCGGCTCTCTGGGCAAGCTTTGTGCAGGGTTCCAGCCCCACGGCGCCAGGATTGAGCGGCAGTGGTTGGGATGCTGCCACGTGGGGGGGGTGGCTGGCCGCCCCCTCCCCCCCCCGGGCCGCCTGCCCCTGCGGCGGGAGCAGGGTTTGAATGCTCTGTAGAGCCCCGGGAAGCTGTTACTGTATGCAAAGTGATTTTCTTGCTGGTTGTTTCCTCTTCTTTTGGGGTCGGGTTAAGGACCCGTGGCAGGATGATGCAGTTCTGGTACAAACTATAAATCGATGCTCTGCTTCCTTCTGCAGGTCTCTCGGGCTGTCTCCGGTGGAGCATTCAGCAGCACCACTCAGTGCTTTGAATACTTTCCACTCAAGAAAGAAAAAAAAAGAGTCATTCAGCCAAAAACAGGAAACACATGGCCCAGGACAGCGTCTCTGATTTGAGTACACCTGTTCTTATAATGAGCCCTGCAGGAGATATTAACTCCACTGCAGCAGAGGCTCCGTGAACTGAGGCATGGGCTGCAGCGGCAGCGGGTGGCTCTGGCTGCTGGTCTCTCTCGGCCGTTTTTGGGGTATGTATGTTTTCCTCTCCATGAAATACTCGGTTTGGGTTGTTTGGGGATTTTTGTCAGATATTAAGACCTTTAGAAATCGTGAGCTGTGTGCCGGGCGGATGGGCAGATTGAGTATAAATATTCATATAGAAGATAAATGGCTTGCAACTCCAAGCTGGATGTGTGGTGCATCCCTAATATGCTCCTACTAGTCAGGCTGAGGGAGGAGAGAATAAAAGATGATGAATGAACAAAGATGGTGATGGACAAAGCGTAGCTGCAGTAGTGAAGCACTCTACCGTGTGTTTTAATGGGGCGTTAGTGGCACCGAGCAAATAATTTAGTAGCAGAAGTGAATTGGGGTACTTGGGATGAAGGTCCTTGGTGGATCGTCTCACTCTCTGCGATACTGAGTGTCTTGGATCGAGAGGTGCCAGGGGGCTGGGAGGCAGTACCCAAGCAATAAAATGCGTATAAGGTGAGTGCAAAGGGACTGGCAGCGGGGCAATGCCTGCTTTCTGGGTGCCTGGAGAGCCCTGGCCAGCTGCGGGTGGTGTCCTGGGGACAGCAGTGTCCTGGATGAGTCGAAATCCCCCCAGCCCGGCTGGTCAGGGAGCGAGGGCCACCCCGGCTGCCCCAGGGCTCCTGGGTCCCCTCCGCCGAGCCCCTCGGCAGTTATGGGAAGACGATGCAAAATCGGTTTTGGTGGCGCCGAACCTGTGCGAAAGCGCTTGGGTGAGCCGGGGCCCCTGAGCAGAGCGAAGGGAGCTGTGACTAATCCCGACCCCCTTCTCGGCGCCCGCCTGACGTCCGTTCCCCTTCCCTGGGGACACCGTGCGTCCCCGCAGCCCCATGAGCCCTCTGCCACTGCATCTGTGTAATTACCAGGTGTAAAACGAAGGGCTCAGCCAGGAAACCAGAGACCTTGGTACAGCTGGGGTTTCTCCTTGGCTCTGCTGGCTCACTATTACTAGAATACCTGCCTTTAAAATCCCCCCGGGGTTTTCTGCCTAGCCAGCACACTGAAAGTCCCACGAGCCCAATACCTTATGCGAGGGCTGCTCTGGACCTAGCGCTGTGCCGGTGCGGATCGCTTGCCTTCCTCCAGCCCCCTCCGTCTGGGCTTCAGCATGGATGGTCTCAGACCTCTTTACATCCGTCCTCCTGCAGCCTTGCTCCAGCCGAGTCGTCTTCCCCGCAAGGGAGATGCTGCTCGCCGGGGCACAGGGTTTTTCTAATGTGATGTAAAAAGGGCTTTTCCATTTGCTAATTAATGAGGAGCCTAACCGCTGCATGTCAAAAAGACATGTTGCTGAGAAAATACAGCATCCGCCTGTGTGCTGGGCTTTACAGTAAATGTGTCAGCAAAAAACGTATGGGGCACCGGGTCAGCTGGGGTGTGGGGTTTCTGCAGGCTGACGGCCGTGTCTGCATGGCTGTTTTGATGCCGGGGAGATGTAGTCCACAGGGACAGCTCAGAAACTGCTGTGTTTTGTGCCACAGAGGGGGGAAAAAACAAGCAATGGCACTCGCTTGGGATGGCGGCGGGGAGAACGTTCGCTCTGTGGTTTTTACTAGAACCGTGCACGCTGCAGGAGAGGCATCCGGGCCTATCTGGGCCTCCCCAGACCTGGTCTTCTGGGGTAGCTCCCCCTCTTTTCTTTTCCCCTCTGGGGCAAAGCCTCGCCCCAATGGAAAGAAGTTGGTAGGAAACATGGGGGTGACACGGTGGAGCTCCTTCCACGCTCCCGCTGCCGACAGCTGGCAGCAGTGGTGATCTGGCACTTCTCCCCACGCTGTTTCCTACAAAAACAAACTTGTTTGCCCGGGTGTGCGGGCAAATATGAATCACTGCCTCGCAGCAAAAGACAGGAAAGCATCTGGGGGAGAAGATCCTCCTGTGTGCTCTCCAGGAAATCCAGGTGGTTTGAGATGCTTTGGGACGCACGGGAGATGCTCGCACCCCTCTTCTTAAGAGCACTTTTCCATGGTCGCCAAGAAACGCAGCTTGGACCACCTTGACCAGGAGAAGAACAACCTGGGACTTACACCTGAGCCCACCTGCTGGAGGCTGCGCTTCCTGCAACTTCTACAAGAAAACCCCCACCGAAGGTTTCTGGAGCTGAGGTGCTCGAGGGAGGTGGGTGCCATGACGTGCACCTAGCTGCAGGCTTTGGCCAAGAGCCACCGAGCATGGCTTCCCTCTGGGCTGCTCTGGTGTCACCAGGACTTCTCCAGGCTGGTCCCACCACTGCCCGCACCCTTCTCCCCGGACCACCATCCCCACCGCGCTGGGACCACAAGTGCCTGCCCCTGCTCGAGGCAGCCCCGCTCTGTGGGGTGAAGTTTCACTGTGCCGGCTGGCTGTCATTGTGCTGACAGAAAGCCTGGAGCCTTAAGTCAGGATTCGGCCACGGTGCACAGCGGTGCTCAACGTGACAGAACGCTGATGCAAATGAAGACTCTCTTGCCTCACTCTGCGAGGGTGGGAAGGAAGAGCAGAGGAAGGCAACGCTTCCCCTCTGGCTCCTGAGCTGAGCCTTTGACCCACATCCTTTGGGGTTGAGGCTGCGGGGCTGCGGGTTGGGGGTTGCTCCTTTGCTTCTGGGGACAGTCCTGTGGGGTGGGCATGGGGCAGAGCTCATAGTGAGCCCTCGGGTAGAGCAGGACTCGCGTTCCCACCCGTCAGCAGTCGCTGGTGCAGGATGTGGTGGATAACCCAGAGCTTGAAAACACGGTTAGATAATCTGTTCAATTTTTGACTGGTTTATCTCACGCATCCCGAGCCGTCCCCAGATTACCAGGGTGGTGGTCCAACGCTGTTGCTGGCTACCGCAGCTCTGCAGGCATCTGCCCTCCTCTGGCAGAGCCGGGATGGGGGGGACGGTTCCTCCAAGCCCCCCGTGCCTCACTGCCTTCCTCAGCCCTTCTCTCCACTCTCCTCCCAGGCATGGGCCGTGGGGCGAGGGAGACAGTGCTGGGCACCCTGGGGAAGGCGACGATGCTGCGGATCCCCCCCGAACTCCAGGACCTCACCCTGCGCTTCGGGGCGGCCGTGTGGAAGCGGGACACGGAGGACCCACAGACGAAGCTCATCCTGCTCATGTACTCTAATGGCAACTACACCAACTACAGTCAGGGACGGACTCGCTTCCACAAGCTGGACTTCTCCCTGGAGATCCTGAACACCAGCCGGCAGGACAGGCAGCTCTACGAGTACATCGTCAGCGAGGGGCCAGCAGAGAAAATCTGGCAGATACAGCTGGAGGTGTATGGTGAGACACGCGGCTTTGGGAGGACCGTGCTGGATGCTCCCAGCCTCTTCGGTGCTGGGAGCAGGTCTGGGAGGTGGATGGCGGCCAGGGGGGTGGGAGGTGCCCACCCTGATGTCGTGGTGCCGCAGTGAGTCCAGGACCCTCTTGCAGCCCCATCTGGGTACCCCCAGGAGCCTTTGGGTGCGTGCAGACCATGTCCCTCTCTAATGCCATTTGCAGCAGGGACAGACCGGCTCCTCTCCATCTCCAGGGGATATAGGAGAGGCCAGCAGGATTTCCCAGGCAGGGGCCAAGGCAATATTTGCATCCTTTCCCGGACACAAACCTTTGCCCGCTCCTTCTTTCTCTCTAGAGCCCGTGTCCGATCCCAGCATCCAAATCCTCAGCTGGGCTCTGGCCAACAACAGCTGCACCGTCATCCTCAACTGCACAGCGGAGCGAGGGGACAACGTCTCCTACAGCTGGGGCAGCCAGGACGCCAGCACCTCGGGGCTCTGCTCGCACAACGGCAGCCTCCTGCACCTCTCCTACGCCCTGGAGAATGCAAGCATCGCCTGCGCCTGCACGGCCAGCAACCCTGTCAGCAGCCGGGTCGTCAACTTCGACTCCTCTGAGTGCAGCTACGAGCAAAGGGGTAAGTCCCCCGCTGCCGACCTCGCTCTCTCCGGCCTCCCAGTCCTGCTCTTGCTCTGCCGGTGTCTTTTTCATGCTGCTTTAGGCAGCCTCAAAGGAGCCTTTTTGCAAGAAAAGCGGCCGCTGTGCCACCTGCTCAGGGTTGCCCAGTCCTTCCCGTAAACACGGGAAGCCGCGGGTCCCACCTGCCTTCCCAGCCAGCCGGGCCACTGCACTTGCTCCGCCCCGGTGCTCGAGGCTCATTTTAAACCCATGAGACTCCTGTGCCGGATGGTTCGGGGAGGGTAAAAACCTCGGTGACAACTTCCCCTTTGGAGTCTTTCGGGGCAAAAGTCATGCGCCCTCGCTGGGATTTTCTAGCACTCCCTCGTGACGTGGGGGACTTCTGCTGGGGCTGGGCAGCGCGGTGGCTGCCCCTTTCCCCGGGGAGCTGGGGGCAAACCCACGGCTCTGCTGGGGCTCTCACAGTGACCTGTGCTGGGAACGTATCCCTGTGGGAACAACAGCCGGCAGCCTTGCTCAGTCCTTGCTTAGGAAAGGGATATGCTGAAATGAGATGCTCCGGGGGGGGTTTGGGCTCATTTCTCACCCCCTTGCCCCCAAACCCTTTGCGCTGTGAACACCCCTGCACGGTGTCACCGTTAGCAGTCCAGCGTCGGGGTCACCCCGGGTGCCTCCCCCGGGGGAGCCCGTCTGGCGGCTGGAGCTGCAGAGCTCCGTCCCAGGGCCCTCTTCTCACGCACCTGCGGATGCGAGGGCGTTCCACAAAGGCTCTGCCTCCCCGCAGGCCTCTGTAAAGCCACTGGAGAAGGTTTTAGGGCTTCATCTGGCCCCCAGCAGGCTTTTTTTCTGACTGTTGCAATCTGGAGGCGATCAGAGAGAACTCTGCTCAAGAGAAGCATTTCTTGCCTCTTGTCTCCTGTTCTACTGATATCATCAGCGCCAAATTAGGTGATGAGATGAAGAAAGATTTTAGCAGCTCATTCTGCTCAGCTCTGGGTGGCCCTGGGCCCCAGGGCCAGCGACTGACTCCCTCCCTTCTCTGCCCCCCCGTCGCAGGCAGTGCCAGGATAAGGACAGATCTCCTGCTGATGGTGGTGGTGCCCATTGGCCTGGTGATGGTGTTCACTGGCATCTTCATGGCCATGCGTTTTGCCATGCCCGCTGGTGAGTGCTGTGAGGGAGGGGTGCTGGGGCAGTTGGTGGTCTGCGGGTGGGGGGAGCCTTGCGGGGGGCACAAGCTGCCGCCAGCCAGCCCCAGCACATGGACCAAGGGGGTAATCCCCGCAGTCACCTCGTCTCGGGAGTACCCTGGCCCTTGGGAAGGAGCAAAATATGTTTCTCTTGAAGCACAGGGTGAAAGGCAGGAAGGAAACCAGCTTCAAAAAAAAAAAAGAGAAATGTACCTGCACGTGACCTCCAACGCTTTACCCGGATGATGGGCTTTGAGATCATGTTGCACGGTCTCAAGGGGAACTGAATGATCCCAGCCCAAATTCCTCCCAAAGTGCCTCACCTGGGCTGTGCCCCCGCTCCCATCCCCTGTGTAACGACGAGTTTGCAAAGCTGACCTGTGGCAGACAGAAATCCTCTGACCATGGCCAGGCTGCTGCAGCGGTAGGGACGCAGCCACGTCCAGCCAGGCAGGACCCAGCATGGGCTCACCCTTGCCATGCCGTGGCCACAGGTGCAGGATGCGGCTTGCAAAGCATCGGCGTCCCCCTTGGTCCCTGCTGCCCTCGCAGCTCAGTGACTTGCTTATCCCCCTGCAGCTGGCCGGGAGCCGGAGGATTCGCCGCTTGCTGAGGACAGGGCAGTGCACACCATCTACTCCCAAGTGCAGCGAGTGGAGGTGAGCCACAA